AGCGAATTATGCTCTGGAGGTAGTTAAAGGGGTTCCCTCAGGGAGGAAAAATACATACACGATTTTAACAGCACTGGATGCTTAAATTCTCAGTAACCGAAGTTCGCCACACCTAGACAAAAACGTAAGATATATTTACTTACACATACACAGAGAGAGAGCAGAAACAACAGTTACTTACAGTTGCCTGAAAAACCATTTCCACTGATATACCCAGAGAAAACCCGCAAGGCAACCGTTTCAAGAAACCTCGTAGCCCCCAAGACAAGGGTGTGGCGCACTTGACGAGCGATAAATCCATTGATCGCAGGAAATGGATCTCTTCTCCGTTTAAGAGGGAGGGAAAAATAGATATATATTTCAGCAGCTTTATGGGGAAATCTGCCACGGGCTCTAAATTTAATCCATTCGTGTCTGGATAGCTGAGCTTCCACTCCAGGCTCAATCCCGCTGCAAAACCATTTTTTAAAAACAAAAACAAAAAAATATCCCACAAGCCAGGCACTTTAAAGGATTCTCACTCGCGCACACGGCACGCGGGGTGTTTTTTTAAGAAAAAGATGTCCCAAAAAGCCCCCAGAGGGCTGGACATATCTTGCAAGCGTAAAGATACGATGGGTTAGTGGCGAAAAGTTAACGGAGGCGCTTCTGACGGTTCTCCGCTCCATTTACACAGACCTCAGAGCAGATTGGCACTGGGAAGTGGAGATAAATCAGTTTCTAAATCAGTTTTGTGTTAAGGCCCGGAGCTCACCCCAAACGGAACATCACATTTCTCCATGCGCTCCAGAAAGCAGGTCCCCACCTAGCCGGGTGATACTCAACCGAGCGCTACAAAAGCGGGAACAGAATCATCTGCCCGGGTGCCATCCTTTGGAGCTGCGTCTTTCCACTCCTCATCCTCTTCGTGGACCCCCTCCCCACTGGAAACCACCCCTCCCCATCACATCAGGAGACCACGCCTCCCCCGGTTCCTTCAGAACCAAGGATTCAAAGGGAACTGGCACCCCCCCCAAGGTGTGTGATGCAGACTTGGCGGGTATTCGGCAAACCCTTCTTGGTCTGAATTCTCTGCACCTTTCTCTTCATGAGTACCACCACATTTTGCATGATCTGCAGCAACGAAAGCAGCTTACTTTTGAAATTTTCTGGGTGCTAAAATAGAGACATCTTTTGACGATGCCACACATATCCCATTTTTTCAGAGTCCAAAGGATTGGGGGGGGGGGAGAAAGAGAGATAGTCGTTTTGTTTAAAAATGCATTAAAAAAAAAAAATTAGGTGGCTCTAAGACGCTGGCTCATTAAGAACGTGAAGAATTCCATAAATTTCCAACAAGACCTTTTCCCTGCAGAATTTCTGCTTGGCATTCTGATCACCTCACAAACAAAGCTTCAAAGAGATAGATATGGGGGGGATATAAAAAAGGAAGGAGATCAGTGGGTGGGAAGAAGATGCCCTCCTCCGTTTCATTTTTTAAAGAGAGGTTTATTATTATCGCCTGTGTCTGAATCAACAAGTGAGACAATTTGTCCACTGAGATGCCTGAATCAATCAGGTGTTTGAAGAGGACGACTTTTGCTGGGGGCGGGCGCTAGCACGGCACCCCCCACCCCAGAGATATTTCAAGACACCACCATTTCAGAGCCTCCAATCCCACCCAGTGCGTGTGGTGGTGGTGCGGCGGGGGGCGGGAGGGCTGGCTGGCTAGGAAAATGTATGCACTGTACATTTCGATCAATGATGTAATGGTACCCATATTTGCCTCATCCGTAGCAGTGGAGAAAATCCAGGAATCTCAACAAGCCGCTGAATAGAAGGACAGTGGGAGCGGGGGGGGGGGGGCGGGGGAGAGAGATTTGGTGGGGATATATATCTCCCCAGAAATTGCTGCGTTCTGCTTCGGCATAAGCAAAAGGTGCTTTTATCACACCAAGAGGAAGCACAGCCAAGAATGAACAGGACGAATGAGCTAAGGCTATTTGAAATGTCAGAAATATTTTAACTGGATACGATTACAAAGCGGCTTTGAATCCGGGGTGGGGGTGGGGGGATGAGTGAGGAGAGGGGGTTATAGGAAGGGGAGATTAGTTCACCTTACTCACACAAGCTCAACCCATACATAAAATGAGCATTAAATAGGTGGATTCCTTTTCCTTTCTGCATCCAAAATTGAAAAAGAAATAAGAGAGCGAGAGAAAGGGAATCAAAGCAATTTATCTGAAACAACTAGAGACTGGCGTTTTAATTATTTTATTTCACAGAAAGGGGCCCCCACTTGATAAATCAAAGCGCAAATATATAAGGTAAGATGTCCAACCTGAGCTACCGGACAAGGAGAGAGAGAGAGAGAGAAGGGGGGGAAATTGAAGGACCTCCAACGCCCCCTTGGGAACAAAGCAATCAATACACACAGAAGGAAAACACAGCCAAGCCAATAAGAGATGTTTTGAGGCAGGGTTTGGACAGATAGATCCATCCTGTTTGAGAGCCGGTTTGGGTTTGCGATGAGATCTGAAAGCTGGAGAGGCATCGGAGGCAAGGACCAACAGGGCTTCTGCGATGGAGAGAGGGAGAAAGAGAACGAGCCACGCCAAGGGACCACTGCCAACTCTTGTGTGACTCAACCACTGCCGAGAACGGGGTGGGAGTGGGGGAGAGAGAGAGAGAAATGATGGTTGATTTGACCTTTTATGTGGAAAGGAAACCCTAAAGGGAAGCTTTTCGCACAGCCAAATCGGCAGGTAGAGAGACCTCCCCAAAGTTGGGGAGGGAGCAGGATTCCAAAGTTTAAGGCAATAAAAGATTGGGTCCCAAGTTTGGGGAAGCAAATGGGTTGGCGTCACCTCCGTGCCCAGAGCGTTCCCCTCAATCCCCACGTCTCAAGGACTAAATCCTGGCAGAGCGCTGTGGGACGTGGCTGGATGATTCCACCACCACCATCCTGGTGGAGATCTCCAACGTTGGCAACACCTACAACAGGTGTTATGAATATACAAGTGTGGCTTCCTCAAGAGACTCCGCCAAATCTAGACAAGAGAGGGAGACAGGGGTAGGAGGAAGGCAGAGAGAAGGCAGGAGTGAGGGACCTGATGGAACAGAAGGCTGCAGGGCTATATGCGCAGACTGCGCATGGAACTGTGCAAGGAAAGGACCACAAAGAGGACAAACGGAGAAGATCGAGGGGTGCCGTCCACAAACCTACATAGCGCACTGTGGAAAGAACCACAGAGTTATGCCTATTTTGAACTGGGGGGTGCGCATGCATGTGCGGGACTGCGCAAACATGTGAGGGCAAGCTGCAAATCAGGAGGGGATCCAGAAAGACCCAAAGAGTTGGGGGGGGGGAGAACGGGAAGAGGCCCGCAGTAAGGGCGAGAGAGGGGCTTGCGTAGTATGGGGTCTTCCTGCAGGGCAGGGAAATGGGTTCAGCGCCTCACTGGGCAAGCTCCACTTTCCCCATTTGCAGAAATATCTGTGCCCAGGGGGAAAAGAGGGAGGGGTCTTCTTTTTTCCAACAAGGGAAGCTGTGGGTGGGAGGCAGAAAAGTCTGAGGAGGAAGGGCAAAAGCTCACCTGCAGAGGGAGAAGAAAACCACCTTCTGGAATCAGCCAGGGACCCTCCCTTTCATCCCCCCCCCTCAAGCTCAGACTCTCCCATCACCACACAAAGAAGTTGAGAGAGACCCCAAGTCTGGCAGCCAGCAGGAGGCAAGTCCCAGATACCCAAACTAAATTCATCGATGGCACCATGAGCCAAAGAGGGGAGCCGCGCAGTCGCCAGGTGTGCCTTTTGGGTATGACGGGGAGGGTGGCATTGAACCCCTCCCTCTGCCCACCAGGCGCCATCCTGCCTCCATCAGGTTGCAATAGTCCAGGTGGTCTGGACAGATGTCTCGCTGCCTAGCCTTCCCCCAAATACTCAGCCACGCAGCTGGGGGAGTCTCTGGGCATGATCCTTTGCCCCCGCCCATTCATGGCCACACTAGCCCCCAACCCATGACTTTCCCCATCTTTCAAGCGTCTCACCAGCTGCTTCTGGGCAAACTCAGCCTGTGCAGCCAGTCCAGTTTTGAAAAAAAGAAAAAACCACAGTTCTACACATTCATCACCAGCCAGGAGTTCATCTGCCACAACTCTGAAAAAATAAAAAATAGCCTCAAAATGCAACTGCTGGTGGACTAGCGACAACAGCTTCACCACACAAAAAGAGAGAGCATAACCACACATGGATAAAGTCCACTGCAAACATTATTATTTTTCTTATTCTAGGGGGAGCTTTGGCAGCCCTTCTTCCCTCCCCGCCAAAAGACCTCCTCAGCTTCCAAGGCAGCCCCACCCCAAACTCCAGGCCGCCTGCTCCGTCCAAGCCTCTACATGCCGCCCCATTGTAGCTGCACGCAACCCTCTCGCCCCCCCCCGCGCCCCCAATGACCACATCTCGAACAGCAGGCAGACATTTCAATCTTCCGGAAGCCCCTTCCTCCCAAAAAATACAACATTGCCCCCCCCCACCAATTCCCCTCCTCTCCAATTCTCCGCCGCCCCCAGGAATAAAAGAAGCACCCCACCGTTGCAACAACGACCCTTCTTCTCCAAAAAAACCCCGACCCGCAGCAAGCGAAGCCTTCTCTCACCACCAGCCCCGCCCCCACCTTCTTCCCTCCCTCCCCCCCCCATCATTTTGGAAATATAGCATCCAATAGCGATGCGATTTCAGAAGAACGGATGCAAAGAGAAAAGACAGTATGGGGGGGGTGCGATTTTTTTTTTTTTTTGCAAGGTTGCAACAACCTCGCCGCCACCGCTGCCCCTCCCCATTGCAATGGCATGGAGGGGGGGGGGGGAGGAAGCGATTTGCATCCTTGCAAAGGCTAACTGCCTGCGCTTCCCCCCCCCCCAAGAAAAAAGATCTCATCAATGCAATGCAATGCAATAATGCAATGCAATGCAATGCAAATCGCGGGGCCCTCCCCTCGAGAAAAAGCCTCCTCGTCTTACCTGGTCCGCCGCCGAGCTGCTCCCGCGGCTCACATCCTCGCCTGGCTGGGGAAGGCGCATGGAGCCCGGTCCGGCAGCCCCCCCCCGGTCCTCCTCCTGCCCACCCCCACGCCGGACCCCCTCCGGGCTCTCCCCTCCCAGCCGAAAAGGGGGCGCGGGGGAGAAAAGAGGAGGATGCCCGGCTTGCAGAGGGAGGGGGAGAGAGAGAGAGAGAGAGACTGCGGCTCCGCGCTCCCTCTCGGGCTCCGAGCGGCCACCCTCGCAGGTGATGTCATTCCCCGAGCCTCCGCCGGCTGACGTCACCCCGAGGGGCGTGGCCCGGGGGAGAGAAAAGAAAGAAAGGGGCGGGGCCGAGGCGGGCGTGGGAAAAGCAGCGCGCGCGCGCGCGCCGCCGGCCAATGGGGAGCGGGGAAGGCGCGGAGATGCAAATGAAGGGGGCGGGGGCGGCGACCCGCGTGGCGGCGGGTCCCGCAGCACGTGGGGATGCGGCCGCCTTCGAAGACGCGTGAAGAATAGGGGACTCGTATTGGCTGAGGTGTTTGGTTGGGGTTTTTTTATAGTGGAATTGAGTGGAATTTCCCGGCAGTTGTTCAGCTATAGGTCTTTGTGCACGTAGGTTGCCTGCACACCATATTGTTTATTATTATTTATTGGAGGATAGCTCAGTCGGTAGCGCATGAGATTCTTAATCTCAAGGCTGTGGGTTCAAGCCCCTCATTGGGCGAACAATGGGACTAAAGATGATCCATGGGATCGCTTCCAACTCTGCGCGGTTCTATGATTTCATGATTTAGATACTGCCTTTGACCCAAAGCTAAAAGGCAACCTAGCAGTTCAAAAGCACGTCAAAGTGCAAGTAGATAAATAGGTACCACTCCGGCGGGAAGGTAAACGGCGTTTCTGTGCGCTGCTCTGGTTCGCCAGAAGCAGCTTAGTCATGCTGGCCACATGACCCTCGGCCAATAAAGCGAGATGAGCGCCATAACCCCAGAATCATCCGCGATTGGACCTAATGGTCAGGGGTTCCTTTACCCGAAGATCACAGGGGGAGGGCGTGTTTTGCAGAAACCTGGCCTTCATCCTACTCAGAGTAGACCCCTTGAAATTAATGGGCATGACCAACTTGGGTCTGTTCACTTCAATGCACCTGCTGTGAGCAGAGCTTAGATAGGTAGCATCCCTAAGACTGCCTTCAAGGCTGCCAGTTCATTTACAGCACGAGCTTTTGCGTTCCTCTTGAGCAGGGCCGTCCCACCCATGAGGCAAGGTGAGGCGACCGCTTCAGGCGGCAGGACCCATAGGGGCAGCAGATCCCCGGGTGAAATAAAGCCTCGTTTCGCCCTTGCCCTTTCCACCCCACAACAGCCTCTGATTCCCACTTGAACCAAAGGTTTATTTGAGCGCCCCACTTTGTCACCATTGTAGATCTTCACTGCTCCCTTGTTTCCCACCCCGCCCCAACACACAGTTTGTAGTTTAGCTCAGGTGCTCAAATCATTAGTTGCTGGTGCACACACACACACACACACTGTTCAGACGGGCGAGCAGGGGCGAAGGAAGGCAGCATGACACCCTGGGCAGGCGTCGCTACATAGAGCGCATGTGCAGCGTTGCTATGTATGACACGCGCCGTATGTACCGACGCCGCACATGCGCTGTACTTAGTGGTTTGCCGACGGCGCCACTCCAGCGCCGTACAGACAGTGCCAGGATCCCTCCGTTGCCACTAGCGCCGGCAAACCGCTATGTACAGTGCTTGTGTGGCGTCACTACAGCGCATGCATGCGACGCCACACATGCGCTGTACATAGCGGTTTGCTGCCGGCGCCGGGATCCTCGGCTCATGGATGCAGTCGCGAATGGAGGATACTCCGCTTGTGGTGGCAAGATGGCTGCTCGCGCCTCCGTGCGCCCCCGTGCGGTGACTTCTTGTCGCCCCCGCAGACGTGGAACCCGGGGCGCACCGCCCACCCTTTGCGACGCCACTGCAGGCGAGAATTATAAATAGGTGAGAAGGAAATGAAATGCAGGGAAGCAGAGGCAGTCCCAGTTATGTTGTGAACAGTGGTCTCCCTGCCACACAAAAGGTAGTCGATAACCAGGGTGGCATTTAGGTTTGATGAGTCCCTAAGCTACTGAAGGTAATGGGGCCCTTTATATGCCCAGCTGTCCATAGTCAACAACACATTGTCACTGTTTTTTGTGTTGAATATATGCTATATGGTAATTTATGGACCTAATAGGTATCTAAAGCCATTTGCCCATGTTGCAACCAGTCCACGCAGAATGTAGGCACCCTATATACAGAAATGAGCAAAGCAGTGATATTCTACGGAGCAGGCTAGCATGCGGAGCCCATGACTTACATCCTAGGAGCCTACGCAACACACTGTTGCTGTATGTAGGTTTTATTCTATTTGTTTTCTATCTTATATTTTGGAAATGTACATCCAGTTTTTTCCCCTTTAAATTTTCTTGGGGCCCCCAAGAGAGTGGGGCCCTAAGCTACAGCTTGTTTAGCTTATACGTAAATCAAGCACTGTTGATAGCACAGGCATCTTAGCATTGGTAAGCCAACGAACATCAGCTGTGGGGTTTTAAAAACACATTGTGCCAATTTAACCCACACTGGACCTTTTGATGTACAGTGGATGCTCCGTGCAAGAGGCACATTCACAACCCACAGCATTTGCAACCTGCAGCGCCGCATCTGGGCACGTGCGGGTCGCGATTCGGCGCTTCTGCGCATGTGCAAAGCGCAATTTAGTGTTTTTGCACATGCGCGAGCGCCGAAACCCAGAAGTAACCCGTTTCGGTACTTCCAGGTTTGGTGCAGTGTGCAACCCGAAAACGCGCAACCTGAAGTGTTTGTAACCCAAGGTATGACCTCGTGAAGTTCCTTTGTTCCCATATGGATACTTTGCAGCCATTTGCTAAGTGACCCTGGAGGCTGAAATGTTCAACTGCTGTCCACCCCCCACCCCCACCCCCGTATTGCCGCTTCTAAGGTCAGATTTGTGCCTGTTCATTCCTTTGCACGACGCAGGTGGCGCTGTGGGTAGAACCTCAGTGCCTAGGACTTGCTGATCGTATGGTCGGCGGTTCGAATCCCCGCGGCGGGGTGAGCTCCCGTCGTTCGATCCTGGCTCCTGCCCACCTAGCAGTTCGAAAGCACGTCAAAGTGCAAATAGATAAATAGGTACCACTCTGGTGGGAAGGTAAACGGCATTTCCGTGCGCTGCTCTGGTGCTGGCTCGCCAGCTGCAGCTTTGTCACGCTGGCCACGTGAACTGGAAGTGTCTTTGGACGGCGCCGGCTCACGGCCTCTTGAGCGAGATGAGCACGCAACCCTAGAGTCGGACACGACTGGCCCGTACGGGCAGGGGTACCTTTACCTTTACCTTTATACCTTTGCATAGAGACTGGCCTGTCTGGCCCATGCAGAATGCAGGAGGGCGTTGTTGGCGGATCGTGGCCATCAGCCTGGACAGCTCCGTTGGTTAGAGCGCTGTGCTGATAGTGCCAAGGTTGCAGGTTTGATGCCCGTAAGTAAGCGACAGCTGCATATTCCTGCATCGTAGGGCGTTCGACTAAATGTGTGCCAGGGTGCCTTCCAACCATATGATTCTATAATGGAAGAGCATCAGAAGATGAGCAGGGGTGGGGGGAAGAAATTAAACTTTTTTGGGAAATGATATATAATGAATTGAAGAAAATGTTTAAAATGACGTTTACAAACCAGAAGCATTTTTGTTAGGGATTGTAGGACAAGACCTGCCAAGGAAAACAAAGAACTTATTTATGTATGCAACAACAGTTGCAAGCGTCTTGATAGCACAAGGATGGAAGAATGAGGAAACCCCGAGAAAAGAACAGTGGCAAGAGAAAATGATGGACTATGCAGAACTGACGAAACTGACATACAAACTGCAAGACAAGGACAACTGTGACTTCAAAGAAGAATGGGAACTTTTTACAAATTACTTGAAACAACAACAAAATGAATTGGACCCAGTAAGCTTCAAGGCTGGGTAGAGCTTTGAATCTTGGTCACCCAAATCCCGGGTCCTATTCTGCCACTCTGTAGAGCTTCTGTTCCCTTTTGACATCTGGGGGTGTGGGTGTGCATGCACACACACAGTGGCGTAGCGTGGGGGGTGCCGGCCGCACCGGGCGCAACATCTGGGGGGGGCGCGCTCGCACTCGCAGCTCTCTGCCCCTACCTGGCTCACTCACTCTCTCTCACTGCAGTGCTGGCTGTGCGAATCCGATCCGAGCCGCTGGGTCGCCGCCCACTGTGGAGGGGTGGGTGCCAGGCGTGCGGTGCGGAGAGAGAGCGAGGGACTATCTGGGGGAGGGACAGTGCAGCGGCCGCCCAGCGCAGCGCTGAGCGCGGGAGAGAACCACACCAGACCAGACCAGGCAGCAGCAAGAAGAAGCTGGCAGCGGCGGCAGGTTAGGGGTTAGGGGTCGCAAATTACTTGCCTTGCCCCGGGTTAGGGGGCGCAAATTACTTGCCTTGCACCGGGTGCTGACAACCCACGCTACGCCACTGCACACACAAAACAGTATTTTGCCACATAAATAAAACAACACTCTTGTTTTGTCATCCTCGGTAACATATTTATTATTTCAGTGATTCCTAAAACGGAGCAAACTTGCACGAAAAGCCATCTTATGCTTTTACAGTGGTACCTCGGGTTACAGACGCTTCAGGTTACAGACCCCGCTAAGCCAGAAATAGTACCTCAGGTTAAGAACTTTGCTTCAGGATGAGAACAGAAATCGGATGGTGGTGGTGCGGTGGCAGTGGGAGGCCCCATTAGCTAAAGTGGTACCTCAGGTTAAGAACAGTTTTAGGTTAAGAACGGATCTCCAGAACGAATGAAGTTCTTAACCTGAGGTACCACTGTATAACTATAGATATGGGGACCCAGCATATTCTTCTTACTGTAAATTGTTTTTAACTGATTTTAACATTGCTGCTGCCCACTCTGGGCCTTTGTGGCAAACAGCAGTTAGGAAATCAAATTATATTAATTATATTGAATCATATATTGAATCATATTGAATCACTTACTCAGAAGCCAAGTCGAGGCATCAGCAAAATCCCACATGTGTCTACTCAGAAGTACCACCCATTGGTTTCAATGAAGCTTACTCGCAGGTAAGTTGGTTCGTTCCCAAGGTTGCAGTCCTGCAAGCTGAGCTGATGCGCATTGACTTGGCTGTATGGCGCACTCAATGCAGTGGGACCAATTCCTTACATATTGCACCTATAACGGCCTAGTAGAAAGAATATGCTTCTTGCCTTGATGAATGGGACAACGGCCAGATTGCTTTAAACATACAGAACGACATGTAACTCATGCAAATATTACCGTATCTCATGTTTCTTTGATTTGCTAGGAGATTCTGCAAATATTTATCCGGGCAGATAATTTGTTTTAATGCGAGGTCTGTTTGATCGGCTGCAGGCTCCTAGATGCTTATTTGGTCGTAAACGGCAGTCTGGTCAGGATGGGCTTAA